TGCTATTAAAAATAAACCTATTTGAAACTAAATTTGAAATTATGACTAACATATATTAAGGTTTAAACTTACTATATTAAAATCATTTAAATTAAATAACAATACACAAGCAGTACATTTGCTGTGACATGTTAAAGAAAAATCAAACCAACAAACTGGTGGAAGTCACTGGCTAAGCATGTCAAATCAGAGTTTCCTGAAATGCTAAACCAGCTTTTGACAGCAAACAGCCTCCTCTGCAGGTAAAGACAGAATACTTTCTTCATGTCAGTTTATTCAGCTAGTTTAGTTCAATTACTAGTTCACTCAAAATTGAGAAACTGATGGGGAGTTGAAAAAGCACAAAAGCTGCTTTCCTCTTCTAATCTGTGAATAAAAATGAGATGTGAAAGGGTCCTGAAGGACACGATGAACAAAAAATAAATAAATAAATTTACTACAGTTAATATTTCCTATGTTTAATAAATCAGTTAATTTTAAATGTAAGATATGTTTTGATAAGAAAAAGTGTTTAAATATGCAGCACATTTAAGATATGTTTTGGTAGTTAACTAAAACTTTTCTGAATACTGTTTGGTATTCTTAATTGATTTCCAATTTCCATCCAAATGCAGCTTTACACAAATCACAAGAAAAATAATCTAGTAAATAAGAAATGAATATTCCCCATTTTCTAAGATAATACAATTATAAAAATTAAGAATCTGGATACACGTGTGAAACTATATAATTGCTTATCTAAAAGTATCTAATTCCTTTAATAGAAATAACTAAAAAGTGCAAACATAAAACAAGATTAACATCCATCATTTAAATCAAGATTTTCTGCTTGCGGATTTAAGCCTTGTCTGCTCTACAAAATTAAGTCAACTTAAGTTACGTCACTGTACAGGCACCACAGTAATTACTGCAGTGGTTCATGTCCACACTACGCCGACTTAACTGTGTGGGGCATTGTAAGGCACTGACACCTGGAGCACCTCCCCACCCCACGCAGGGCTCACAGCCAATAGGTGATTTAAGAAACACAATGTCTACACAGACACTGCATTGCCCTAACTACATCGATCTAAGTGCTACACCTCTCACAGAGGTGGAGTTATTAGGTCGGTGTAGGGGGTGACTTACATCAGTGGGAGCAACGTTGAGTGTAGACACTTAGGGCTTGTCTACACTGACAAGTTTTTTCGATCCAACTAATGTCGCCAAGGGGAAAAAATCGACAAAAACAGTTGCCAAAGCGTGTCTACATTTGCTCCCTCAATCAACAGATCATGTCCACATTTGGGGCACCTTTGTCAACAGTGAGTGCAATGGACTGTGGGTATGTATCCCACAGTGCCTGATGACAACATCCATCCCTAGGTGTTGTGGGAACGTGGAAACGGAGCACAGCGCATCCTGGGATGTGCAAAATGTACCGTCATGCACCGCTTTGCGTCCCACCCCTCCAAAGGTCTCTGGCTTCCTTTCGCACCATTTTTCCAACTGTCATTCTTTTGTAGTGCATGCCAGCATCTGCAGTGAGAGAGGCTGGATCCCGCACTTTTCTCTTATGCGCTGTTAGCTGTCATGAGGACATCATGCATGGCAGCACAGTTACTCTCAGAGTTACTCACAAAGTTAGCAGAGGATGAATTGCAGGCACCCGAGTGTGATATGGACAGCAACAACTTATCAGTGCTTTGTGCTTTCACAGAGCATCTGCATACGGTGGACCGTCGCTTTTGGACTAGGGGAACAAACACTGATTGGTAGGATCGCATTGTCATGCAGGTGTGGGATGACGACCAACGGGTACAGAACTTCAGGATGCGTAAAGCAACCTTCATAGAGCTATGTGCTGATCTGGCCCCAACCTGTGGCGCAAAGACACCAGATTGAGAGCTGCCCTTCTTGTAGAGAAGTGTGTTGCAATCGCTGTGTGGAAGCTGGCGAATTCAGACTGTTACCGGTCAGTCACAAATCAATTTGGAGTAGGAAAGTCCACTGTTGGGGCTGTATTACTCCAAGTGTGCAGGGCAATAAATCGCATCCTGTTGCGGAGGACTGTGACTCTGGGAAATGTGCATGAAATAGTGAATGGCTTTGCAGAGGTAGGTTTCCCTAACTGTGGCGGGGCAATTGATGGCAGTGGCACACACATTCCAATTTTAGCACCAGACCACCTTGCCTCTGAATACGTCAATAGGAAGGGATACTTCTCCATGGTGTTGCAGGTGCTTGTGGATCAATGGGGGTGTTTCATGGACATCAATGCAAGCTGGTCTGGAAAGGTGCATGAAACACACGTCTTCAGGACAGTGGCCTGTACAGAAAGCTGCAGGCGGGGACTTTCTTTCCAGATCACAAGATCACAGTGGGGGATGTGGAAATGCCCATAGTAATCCTGGGAGACCCATTTTACCCCTTACAGCCCTGGCTCATGAAACCTTACATAGGGCACCTGGACAACAGCAAGGAGCGTTTTAACAACGGGCTGAGCAGGTGTCACATGGTAGTCGAATGTGCCTTTGGCCATTTGAAAGCTTGCTGGAGGTGTTTAAATGGCAGGCTAGACCTTACCGAGGATAATATTCCCGTGGTCATAGCCGCGTGCTGCACTTTGCATAATCTGTTTGAATCTAAGGGTGAAATGTTTGCTCGGGTGTGGAGCACTGAGGCAGAGCGCTTGGCTGCAGTTTGAACAGCCAGATGCTAGGGCTGTCAGAGGAGCCCAGAGGGCTGCTATTAACATCAGAGCGGCTTTGAGGAACCACTTTGACAATGCGGGGCAGTAACACATGTCTGCTTTGGAGTTGCTTCCCTGGTGCATCCATGTACAATTTTGGGGCTCAAGATACGTGCAACACAATGCTTTAGGAACCTGTTCCCGAGAGTGAATTGATTGCTATGCGCTTTTGTAGAACACAGAATAAAAATGCTGTACCATTAAATAACTTAGCCTTCATTTATTGTTAAAAATGATAAAACGCCACAACTGTGTGTAGCTCCAGCTATCATTGTGCAAGCTGTGAGAGGAGGTGGAGTGCTGGGGAAATTCAGGAGTGCTGTGAAGTGAAAAGGAATGTGTGGGCATAGAGGGGGGTGGGGTTGGCAAAGAACAGTGCATCTGCTGCAGTAGCACTCAAACTCGGATCTGCTCAGTCTGCAGAGACTTGAGCATCTGTCTGATCCTCCATAACTTATCATCCGCTCTGTCGCATGCCTAGCGAAAGCGGCATTCTCTTTTCTGTTGTGCCTTTTGGCTTCCCAGAAATCTTTCCATTCCCTGGCCTGTCTCTCATCGTGCTGTATAACTTCGCGGAACATGTCTTCTTTGCTGTGCCTAGGGTTTTTTCTTATCTGCCGCAGCCAGTCCGCGGGGGTGCATGGTGTGTTCTTCAAGGTCTGTGCTGAACAGAAGAGGGATTGTTACATTCCAGCAAACAATTGAAAGGGTATTTTCCTAATAGAAATCACTTTCTCTCTGATGAGACTCTAGGCAGGCACATAGCTCTGCGAGCACCCCAATCATGGTGAGTTTTGGGAGTGGGGGGAAGGCGGTTGTGCATATGGACAAAAAGGTCACGGCTTGCAGGGCAGCTTTGCAGGGGACTTATTCTAAAATTATCCCACAATTTTTCACAGGCGGCCAACCTGCTGGCTGACATCTCTCTGTTGAGGGTGACCAGGGAAATCAGGGCTCAGCTACTGAACAGTTGCGGCTTTCACCCCGGTCTATATGCAGCTCAGCTATGTGCCGCTTTGGTCCCAGCTCCAGTGATTGCTAAATGACATGGTACAGTTTCCTACAATGGGGGAACCAACGAGGCTGCAATCCCTTGGAATCTGCGGCAGAGGATTAACAAGTACCTCTTGGAAACTTTCCAGAGCCTCTCTCTGGAGGATTCCCTGGAGGTCTCCATGTCCATCGATACCCAGCTTGGCCATGCAGATTAGCTACACAGGGAAATGTTGAGCCCACAGAAAACACTACCTGCCTCCCACTTTTCGATTCCTTACACAAGCCACAGCAACTTACCCAGCGTCTCATCTGCTTCCTGCTCCCCGTTGAGCACTTCTGGAGTGGAGAAAAGTTCCTGGCTCCCTGCCCCACTGGGTGACCCTGCTGGGAGCACCACATCCTCTTCTAGCTCGACTTCTTCATTCACAATTTCAGCCTCTAGGTTATCCCCGCTTTCAGCTGCATGTGAAGTATCCACGGGGCAATCGGCGATGGAGGTGGGGTCACCACCGAGGATATCGTTCAGCTCCTTATAGAAGCGGCAAGTCTTAGGTGCACCACTGGAGCGATGGTTTGCCTCCCGCACCTTATGGTATGCCTGTCTCAGCTCCTTTATCTTCGCTCTGCACTGATGCATATCCCGATCATAGCCCTTTTCGCACGAGCCCCGAGAAATTTGCCCATATGTGTCCTGATTCCTACGGGTCACTCACAGCTGCGACTGAACAGACTCCTTTCCCCATATACTGATCAGATCCAACAACTCAGCGGAGGTCCAAGCAGCAGCACGTTTGATGCAATAGCCAGCCATGCTCACCTGGGAAACTCCTCTGGGAAGCCAGCAAACAGGAAATGAGATTTAAAAGTCCCAGGGCTTGCAAGGGGGAGGGGCAAATTGGCTGCAGGGCAGCAGAGTTCAAACCGCTGACCAGAGCAGCAGCATGGGAATTGTGGGATACTTTCTGAAGGCCAATAAAATTGAAGAAAAAAAAAAATCTGTGGTGTCTACACTGGCTGTTTGTCGACAATAAAGGGAGGGGAAAAGACAAAAGTCTCTCGCAGGGATGGAAGTTTTTTGTTGCCAAATCTAGGTGGGTTCCCCCCCTCCTGAAAAAAGGGACCTCGCAGTGTGTACGCTATCGCTGTTTTGTCGCCAAAAGGCAGTTTTTGGCAACAAAACTTGCCAGTGTAAACAAGCCCTTACAGAGTTAGATCGACGTAAGCTGCTTGTACGTAACTCTGTAGTGTAGACCAAGCCTTAATCATGATTAAAATCAGTCCTACTCCAGCTTTTCTATGTCAAGGAGAAGCCAAGGTGGCTATGCAAGTCTGCTAGTTTCTGGTTTAAACCTGCTGTGTTATGCCTCCTGCAAGGCACAGCTCAGAATTGACATTCTCTACCCTATAAAATAAAGCCCAGCTGGTCAAAAGTCCTACTCACGTGTCCTCTGCCCAAAAACACAGTTCAGAGCTTAAGTAATCTAAGCAAATATAACTGTACTTTTACCTCTTAGCTAGTGACTAACAGTTTTGATGTTAAAACTCATTGCACCATAATGCAATGGAGAACTCAAAAGGGCAGGACAATCGCAATAATGCCCACTATGAAAAATTCTATTCTAGTTTCAACAAGCAGCAGTTTTTAGAAAGATTTCTTTCACCTCATTTAATTTATGCTGCAATTGTGCAGCAAAGCACAATAAAAAGACAACTATTTGTACTCTTCAACTGCTCTTCTGACACAGAAAAGGTTTCAAAGTGTTAGTTTTATTTGTTGCTTACATTATAACTATCACGTCGTAACTTTCAAAAGTCTGGAAACCAGAAATGTATATTTTGTAGCACTCAACTGAGGAGAGAAGGAATGCTGCCTTTCCAGCCTCAGTTTAAAATATATCATTTTAAATGATGTGCAGTTTAGCTCTATGGTAGCAAAACAGCAGAAAGTCATGGCAGGGTCTATGTACATTGGTGTATTTGGCTACATGTCTCCAGACACTAGGAAAAGTGCACATCTTGAAGTGACTTGTATCTGCTCATTGATTTTAACCCCTCCCCGCACCCAAAAACACACTTTACAAAATGCAGTTTGTTTACAATGTATCCTTCCACTGTAAGAAGTAGCTCCCAATAATGAAAAAATAGGGAACCGTTATATACACCTAAATTACAGGTGACATTTTGGAGAACTAAGAATATTTAAATTTCATTACTTCCATTCATGCCCCTGAAGCCTTTTCCATACTCTCTTTTGTCAATGAAGTTAGCAAAGGTGATTTGTGAGAAGTTATCCATCTTTGGATACAATTTATTTGAAAGCTTAAGGGCATTTTCTGCTCCTTCAGTTTTACTTCACTTCACATCTTTATGATTTTGCAGTGTAAGCAAGCAATCAAGAACTGGATGATGATTACTGCCTTCAGGTGATTAAACAAAGTGCTCCTTGCGAAAACTCTTCAGTTATGATTGAAAAAGTGTGTTCTTTCAGAAGACCTTTACTACAAGAAATGTTTGGGTAAAAAATAAACCAAAACATAAAGCTTTCCATTCAAATTCAAAAGGCTGTTTGAGCTCATCCTCCACTTTTACTTTTTGAGGAACACTTCCTGATTAGTTATCAGAAAATTAAATTACATCCAAACCGTTAAATTTTACTGTATTCTCATTAACATAGTTTCACCCGCTACCAAAAAAGGACAGGTTTCAGAGTAGCAGCCGTGTTAGTCTGTATCCGCAAAAAGAACAGGAGTACTTGTGGCACCTTAGAGACTAACAAATTTATTTGAGCATAAGCTTTCGTGGGTTTTCACGGTACTTCCATTCCTCAGGCAGCTAGGCAGCAAAAAACAAGAAAAAGTAGCGTTGGGAAAGGCAGAAGTTAATATTGATTACAGAATTAACTGGTTTTGCAACTAAAACCTGTATGTTTTTTTTTTTGTTACTTCAAACCAGAGGTTATGACAAACAGTTTATTTTAACTACATTGGTCTTTTTTTGCCCTCACCCAAGAAACAACACAGGAATAGGGATAAAGTTAAGTTTTATGTGAGGGATGAGGTCCCAGGCGTACCCACTTCTGAGCTGGAGCACAAATGTGACAACAGAAAGGTCCACTCAGAATGCAATTTTGAACAACTGGTGTCTCCCACTCATTTTTTTAATAAGAGTTTAAATACTATCAATCAACTATATTATGAATGACAGTACAAGCTTGTTTTACAGCACAAGTCATGTGTTCGTCTGGCACAGCTCAGAGAATGTTGCTTATTAGATCTTAGTTACACAAAAAATGTGCTAGGAAAATATGGAGGGATACACAAACAAAATTATCAGAGTGATGATAGGCCAGTGATTTATAAGTTACATGTCTGTTTGTTTTAAGTTAAATATTGAATTCCAATTCCCCCACATTTCAAAATAGTGTAATTTGGTTTGTTCATTAATTTGGAAGTTTGTCCCTTTGTACTCCATTAAACTGTAAAAATACAGAATCAACATTTTAAAAAGCCTGTTTTAGGAACAATGTCCTATCCTAACTCCCCACTTTTTCCTGGAAGTTTTTGACAATTTGATGAAGATCTGGAAAGTGACGTTACAGGAGACTGAAACCTGAGGTGCAGTTTTCCTCTCCCTATCTGAAAGGGAGGGAATTTTAATTGTCAGATTTACAATCTCGTGTGCACAGCTTGTGTGTTTTTAGACTGCAACATGACTCTCATTTACTGCAACTGACTATAGACTGTCAGCTTGGGGTGAGCACTGCTGTGCAGTTCAAAGGGTTTTCAGTGGCGGAGTGTGCCCCATCCCCAGGAAGAGCCAAACACGTTAGCGCATTTTCCATCCACGCCTATCTTCACAGCTACGAGCTTCTCCTAGCGATGTCCCGGGGAAGGATGAAAGGGCCGGAGATAGCGACAGCGGTGCAAGACCCAGGCGCGCACCAGGCCCACCCAGCCAAGCTGAGGTTCGGGCCGCCCATCACCGCGGGGTCCAGGCGCTTGGGGGCGAGGCTCTGCCAGCTGCAGCCGAGCTCTCCCAAGCCAGGTATGTCGGACCCGGCGGGACTCGAGCTCGGTGGGGGGGTTAACAGGCCCAGGGTCAATTTCGGGTCCCACAGACCCGCCCCGCGCGGTAGCCCGATGGTGAGTGGGGAGAGGCTGCACGACCGCGGCCCCACTGCCCCGGGGCCCCCGCTCGCCAGGCGCCAGCGTGTCCCCTCATCTCGACCCCCGCACAGCCCCTGGGGGGAGGGGCGGCTGGCGGTAGCAATTAGAGGTCACCGCCCCTCCCCCCTGTGCCCGACGCGAGACCCGGACACGTCCTCACCATCCCGGCGGCGCGCGGCGGCAGCGTCCGCTGCTGAGGCTGGCACAGAAGAGCGGCGCGCGACGGCAGCTGGAGCGCGAGGAGCCCCCGCGTGCTGCCCAGGCGCTGAAGGGGCCGGAGTGAGCAGTACATGCTGAGCGGGAGCACGGAAGCCGCGACACAGGGACCAGGAAGGGGGCGGGGCACAGCTACTTTCTGACGGCAAGTGCCATGGGGAAAGGAAGGCCCGCCTCTAGGCAGACCAATCAACAGCCGGGAGCGGGCACCAGGAGGCGGGCTCAACCACGCGGAAGCCAATTGCCAAGCTGCGAAAAGCGCACCAAGGGGTGGGGCCGGTTCCTATCCCCCTCCTCTCTCTCCGCGGCAGCTCTTGGAGGCTACTACGCATGGCTGAAGGAAGCTGAGCATGCGCATTAACAACTCAGCTGCTGCCTTTCATGGGGCATGGGGCGCGCGCTGTGCGGGGAACTAGCGACGGCACAAATGACGAGCGCGCGGAAGCGGAGCTGGGCGGGCAGGGGGTCCGGGGCCGAGCGGGCGACAAGGCCCAGGGGAGCAGCGCCGGGGGCTGGGGCCTGTTGAAGCGGGTCGCGGTGAGGTGACGCCCGCGGCTCTTACATCGGTCACCAGGGCTCAGCATGAGGCGAGCTCCGCTTGGGGCCTCGGGCCGGTCGTAGCTGCAGCCGCCGCCGCTTCCGTTCCTCGAGCGAGCGGGAAGAAGGGGCAGCCTGGGGCCGCTGATGCCGGAAAACTGCCTTTGCCTTGGGAGCCCCCGCCCGGGAGTTGCTCTGTGCGAGCGGCAGGTAGGAGCTGCTCGGCCCGACTGGTGTGAATGTCAGCACGGAGCGAACCGCTGCTCTGGGAACTGAGATCCGGGCCCCACCGCCTGGCGCTACCGGACACCCCTGTGTTGGGACCGGCGCGGCTAGATCGCAGCGTCCCGCTTTCTCGCCAGTCGAGACGCCGAGCCCCACGGCCGACAAGTGCCACTGAGGATTAATGTTAAGGTGCTTAGAGAATAAACGATAAACACCTTCTTGATCCTTTGAACACCTCCACCATCTCCTGCCTCACCCCTGGTAATGCACCTGGGCAGCGCTTGGAAGAAACTACCTTTCTTCTCAGTCGTGCCTTGTCTTATACATCGCCCTGTACTACTGGCAATATCTATGGCCTTGCTTTATTGGCATTTGTTTTTACCCAGCCGGTACTTACCCCTTCCTTTAAACATTAACCAAATTTCATGACCACTCATTAAATCTTGATCCTGTCAGTACACAGACCCGTTGACAGAACGTTGTCCGTGTACCAGAAATATTTGTTCATCATGTGCACATGTAACCCAGTAACCCAAGATAGTTCATTTCATGAGCTGAGCTGAGAAGTGAAGCACACTTAAATAGGCACCATGTCAGACTCCGTAATGGAACCAGTGAGGGCTAGACAACTGGCAACTATTTTAAGTAGAAAAGAAAAAACAGCTGTCTAATATTTAAGATTGGGCTTTGAGTAAAGGAGTTAACCTCCACCTGTGAAAGGCAGCTTTGGTCCTTCTTTTTACTTAAAAGTTTTTAAGCTGTGATGAATCATCCCTTCTTTCAAACAACATATTTCCAGATTGATCATAATAAAAATCAATTTCTAAAAAATGGTGAAGTGCCAGTAACCCCTGACACTAGAATAATCTGATATGTACTGATGAAGACAGATGGCTGAATATAAATTAAGAGTTCTTGGTCCCATAAGGGTTTAGCAAGTTCTCAGTTCTAGCAAAAATTTTGCTAGTATTCCTGATAGTAATCCATTTCATATCACCTATCTGTTGGGGAGGGGGTTGGGAAAGGAGAGTCTGAGTCCAGAGGGTGGGGCTCCAACTGGCCCCTTTATCTCCACCTCCCAGGTGTGCACAGTCCTCCTGCATGAGCCCCAGCCACAGGAGACTGACAGCCAGAGCTTTTACAAAAAGCACTCAGTTCACACCTCCCTGGAGAGGCCCACCCCATAGTTTTGAGAACTGCTGATCAAGAGTAAATGAGTGTTTCATAACTCACTTTTAGAGGATTACATATACTGTGCTGCAGTTAACAGAAAAGGGATTCTTTATGCAAATACACAATACATAACAGTATTTAATTATAATATTCATAGTTGTTCTCCCCACCCAGATTAGCAGACAAGATGTATTTGTGTGCTAAGGAAATTCTGTAGTGTATGCTTTTCATTTTATATTAACATTAAGCATGGTATATGTTTTGTAACAATGTTAAGCTATAAAGAACCCTGTTCTATAAATCTGATAGTTTATTTCCTGGTAGGGAGGAAGAAAAAAGTCCTTTTCTAATGAATTCACTCTAATTTATCCATTCTCATAGATATATGCCCCATAGGAATATTCTGTAAATCTTTAATCTTTCCAGTGGTTTTGATTTGACTAAGAATATGTACAGTTTATTCAGTCTACCTTTGAGTGGAGGATATTTGCTCAAAGGAAACAATTTGCCTTCTAAAATTAAGTTTCTTCACATAAATTAATTAATTAATTAA